GTGTTTCTTGAATATTTTCCTTGTTTAACTAGTAGAACCGAACGTACAAGTGCATCAGAAGACTAAGCGAGAGTTTTGTGTAGAAATGCTCTGTTTACGGGAAGTTATTTTGGAGGGTACCTAAATATCGAGTCAGGATTCGAGCCAGGACTCGAGCCAGGACTCAAGCTAGGACTCGAGCCAGGACTCGATTCAGGACTCGAGCCAAAAATGACGTCAAGTGATTTTGATGGATGAAAATTTACCAACAGCGTTCTCACTTTTAAGGAACTTTTCTTAAATTTAGACTATTCGTTCACCAACAATGCGAAATGTTTAAGGAAATTGAACTGAATCTGAGGAATTGTTTATCGATAACCTAAGGAATGTTTGGCAAATGGGAAGTGAGAGAACTTGTTTACCAAATCAATTTCCCGCCTTTTCCCGCCAGATTCGATAAATGAAACTAAAGAACGAAAGTTGATATTTGGTATATTTGTACATACAGAGCTGTCAATCTCATCTGACTTTGGCTATTAAGGGGCCGATTACATGGAGCATTTTCAACCCCGAGGTTGAACTCAGCCCTGTTAACCGGGTTGAATTTTTTTGTGATTACATGGACGATTTCAACCCCGAGGTTAAAACGTTATACTATACGTTCTCGGAATCGATTCGCGGAAGTAAAAAGCCTTTATTTTGTTTTCTTGTAATAAATAGTCACTACCACGCATGCTCGAATAACTTATGATAATTTCAGCCCTGGGTTGAAACGATTACATGACAAAATTTTCAACCCAGGGCTGAGTTCAACCCCGGGGTTGAAATTTCAACCCGGCTGCTAGCTGAAGCAGGGTTGAAATTTAAACCCCGGGGTTGAACTCAGCCCTGGGTTGAAAATTTTGTCATGTATTTTAAATCGCGCGTTTGATTTTGATAGAGAAAATTTTGTATTACAGACAGGGCTGAAATTTCCACCCGGTAAACGGCAAGGCTAAGTTCAACCCCGGGGTTGAGAATGCTCCATGTAATCGGTCCCTAACTGTAACGGTTAGGGACCGCTCATTATTTATTGTACAGGGGGGGACTGAGGAGAAACTCTGCAGTTATAATATTTTTTCGTTGCCCCCCTCTTAAGACAAGTAAAATTTTCAAAGCCCCCCCCCAACAGGCAAAAGGAGAACATAAATTTTGCCCCCCCCCTCTAACTCTTTATCTTTATTTAGAGAAACAAAAACTCTAGCTGTCTATTTTAGAGAAAGAAAACTAGGTAATGGGGACCAATAGACATTCCCATTATCGACTAATTTTTTATCTTAGCAAAAAAAGTATATTCCCGGGAAGGGCATGATAAAATTAGTAAAATTCCAAAGTTTGGTTGCAAAATGTTGTAAAATATGTAGAAAATATAGCCTTCCAAAGTTTGCAAATTTTGTATTTTTTGTATAATTGCAATTTTCGCATGCAATACAAAAGTGTACAAAATTTGCAAACTTTGCAAGGCTATATTTTCCGTATTTTGCAACAATTCGCAACCAAACGTTGCAACAATTTACTTATTTTAGTATGCTCTTTCTAGCTGTGGTGATTTATTTGCATCAAGGCCGGATTTTGAGGGAAGTGTGGAGAGGTGCGCACCTCCCGGAGATCGTTTTGCACCTCCCCTGAGAATTTTTCCACCTCTCTTGAAAGGTCATGCACTTCCCCTTGGGAAAGTTTCAATGATGGAACAAAGTGAAAATGTGATGGTTGCTTAGGATCTACACTTTGTGACCTAAGAAAGTTTTCTCTGTAAAATTGAAACAGTGATAGCCATGTCAAGCACCCTTTTAATGCAATGTTTTGAAAGAAACAGTGTAGCAATTGTAATATGAAGGGCAAGATTGGAGTCATACATTCATAACTCATTAATACACTGGTACATATTATGTACACTACATGCATACCTCACCTCGTTGATATTGGCCTGTTCTACAATAAGCCCTAACTTTCCATGGGAGTTGTGAGCTAGACCGCTGCATGTCTCCTAAAATTTTTGTCCACCTCCCCCACTATTTTCACCAAAATCCGGCCTTGATTTGCATCTCTTTGCCTAGTTCTAAAATTAATCTACAATGGGAATTGTCTATTTGCATAAACATAAGAGACTTTTTATTTGACTTCCATTTATGAATATTAAAGTCTATAAAATAATATTGTTATTTGTTGTTAAGTTGTTTTGTGATACATTTTTAAAACTACTAATGTTTTTTCAAACTGGTAAATATTTTCAAAGCCCCCCTTCTTTCGTCTCTCTGTATTTTTTCAAAGCCCCCCCTTTCAGGTTTTGAAAAATTTAAGGCCCCCCCAGTTTCTCCTCAATCCCCCCCCTGTACAATAAATAATGAGCGGTCCCTTATTAACGTCGGAAGACAGTGAATGAAATAATAGTCAATACCATTGTTGTTGTTTGTCTTTGATATATTGCACAAATATCGATATCCAAAAAAGGGAAATATCCTGCCAGTATTTTATCGAACTAAAACAGTTGGTATTGCCCATCACTAGCAATCGCTCTTTACAAAACAGAACCTGTTGCCGCTCATTGCCGCTTAGCATTCGTCACTAAAGAGTAGGATAATTCTCCCTGCCTTATTTTCCTGTAATAGACGCCAATATCACCAAACTATATTTTAGAAGAGCCGGCCACGATGGCTAACTGTATTACCAAATACACCTTTTCGATAATTACACATACTTTTTGGTCTTGGAACCTCGCTCTCATTGGTAAATTACACAAGGTGATTAGAGTAATTATTGCTAGTAGCAGAACATTTAGCTAGCCTGCGTAACGTGTCTTATGAAACAAAACCATTGGGTATGGCAATTCCCCGTATTTTCGCATTTTTTTATCGAGTCCTGATTCGAGTCCTGGCTCGAGTCCTGGCTCGAGTCCTGGCTCGAATCCTGGCTCGAATCCTGACTCGAGCAATAGTATATCTCGTTATTTTGCATTCGCAAGCGTCAAAAAAACTGCGGCATCAAGTTCACAGTTTGATTGAGGGTACCTAAATATCGAGTCAGGATTCGAGCCAGGACTCGAGTCAGGACTCGAGCCAAAAATGACGTAAGTGATTTTGATGGATGAAAATTTACTAACAGCGTTCTCACTTTTAAGGAACTTTCCTTAAATTTAGACTATTCGTTCACCAACAATGCGAAATGTTTAAGGAAATTTAACTGAATCTGAGGAATTGTTTATCGATAATCTAAGGAATGTTTGGCAAATGGGAAGTGAGAGAACTTGTTTACCAAATCAATTTCCCGCCTTTTCCCGCCAGATTCGATAAAAGAACTAAAGAACGAAAGTTGATATTTGGTATATTTGTACATACAGAGCTGTCAATCTCATCTGACTTTGGCTATTAAGAGGCCGATTACATGGAGCATTTTCAACCCCGGGATTGAACTCAGCCCTGGGTTGAAAATGTTGTCATGTAATTGCGCTGTCGAAGAGATATGAACATTCCAGTATATAGTATATAGCTCAGGAATTTAGCGCATGCGCATGAGGATATTTACATGTGCTCGATTCAGAGATTGACAAAACTATAGCGTATTTGGTTTATATTCTACTATAAAGGTTATACTATTTCTATGCACATTACTCTATTAAACGAAGTCAAGTACTCTATTTCCGTCATATACATTCTACTCTACATTAATGGTGCCGTGACCTGGATTATGGCGGAAAATCTACCAAAACTTCAAGCATCACGAGCGGGCTATCGGACCCATTTGACACAAACAATCAAGAAAGCTACAAATATTGCAACGAAGGAGGATCCCCTAACGGACAGTGTTATTACATCTTTAAAGAGAATCGTTGATCAATTATCTCGGAAAAGGTCGATTCTAGAAGAACTAGATGAGAAAATCGCAGGCATGATCGAAGACCCAAAGGAACTGGAGAGTTCTAGAAATATTCCAAAATGAGGACATCAAAGAAGAAATTGACGAGACAGCAGCTCAGATAAGTAACACTATTGAACATTTTCAATCTACAAAGTTGTCTCAAAGTAACTCCCCCTCTGAAGTAACTCAAGTAATCTTAGAAAATACAAGCAGTCAATCCCCATCAACAACAGTGAACACAAATAATCAAACAGGGACCCCTAATGAAATTGTTCAACAAGATAATTCCCCCCCCCCCCTGTGAACACACAATCACAACAAGATACTCAACCCTCTACAAATGCACAATCACAGCAAGATAGTCAACCCTCTACAAATGCACAATCACAGCAAGATAGTCAACCCTCTACAAATGCACAGTCACAACAAGATGGTCACCCCGCTACAAACACACAATTTCACCAAGAGACCCCAGTTATACCAGTATTTCCACCAACCCTACCAACAACTACACCTCACCACCACCAGCCTTATCAATCAAAATAGTCGTTTACCAAAATTAAACCTTCCAACATTTTCTGGGAACCCGCTACAATGGTTTACATTCTGGGACTCATTTGAAGCTGCAGTCCACTCCAATTCAACCCTCGGGGATGTACAAAAGTTTAGTTACCTTAAGGCCCAACTGGTGGGTGATGCATCAAGAGCTATTGCAGGGTTTCCCCTCACAAACCATAACTATACCAAAGCTATTCAACTCTTAAAGGAACGATTTGGTAACCCCACCAAAGTAATTAATGCACACATGCAGTGTCTACTTGATCTGCAAAACCCCAACTATGAACTAGCAAGTTTACAACTATTCTATGACACTATGGAAAACCACATTAGGGGGTTAGAATCGCTCGGCAAAGCCCACAGTAACTATGGAGACCTCCTAGTCCCAATTGTTCTGGGAAAATTACCACGTCAACTCAGAACAAACTTAGCCCGTGACCATGACAGTCCCGAATGGAAATTTACACAACTGAGAGAGTCCATTCGTAAAGAAATAAGAATTCTAGAAGCCGGTGTTCAATCCAATCTAATGCAAGCTACATTGCCATCACCTAAACACACAACAGCAGGTTCGTTTTTCACACAAACACAAGGAAACCAACATCATACCACAAGATACAAACCGGGACACACTACTAAACGATGTGTATATTGCAAGGGTCCTCACCCCACCTACAATTGTAATGTTGTAAAGGATTGCCAAGAGAGGTGGACAATCGCGAAAAGGGAAAAACTGTGTTTCAATTGCTTGGGAAATCATAAGTCATCAAACTGCCAATCCAAGTTCCGTTGTCTGAAATGTAAGGGGAAACACCACACCACCCTATGCCCTCATTCAATGATGCCTCCTAACCTCCCTCCATTAACACCTCCACCCCCTCCCTTCCACCAAAATCCCAACAATCAACAAGCCCTTCCCACTACTCCAAATACACCACAGCCAACACCCACCCATGCAACTCTGGTCCCATCCACCCATTCTCCAACAGTAAGACATGTTTCACTTTTGAAAACAGCCATTGCAACTGTGAGCACTGGGCAACTTCATTGTGATGCCAATATTCTTCTTGATGAAGGAGCTCAACGGTCTTTTATTACTACTGACCTAGCAAACCAGCTTGGAGTTATGTCCTCCAAAACAGAGGAAATTGCACTATCAGCCTTTGGAGCCCAAACCTCAGCTAGACGTCACCTACCACTTGCTACTGTTTATATCATCACCCGTACTGGACAACAAATTCCATTACAAGTTCTTGTAGTTGAGGAGATAGCAACGCCCCTCCAAATTCCACCTCGTCAACATATAAACGATATGCCCCACCTGAAGAATTTAACCCTAGCCCATCCTATTACAGCTCAAGAGGACTTTCGTATATCATTGCTTATCGGAGCCGACCATTACTGGGATATAGTAGAAGATGAAGTGATTCGTGGTCAGGGACCCACTGCTGTTGCATCAAAACTTGGTTATCTTCTCTCTGGGCCATTACCAACACCTTCCAAACCCTCCAACACCCTTGTGAGCCTGTTGCAGACAGTCAGATCCACCAAAAGAACAGAACTTGATCTAGAAAGATTCTGGTCCCTCGAATCTATTGGCATCACTCCGCCATCCTGCACTGAAAACCAACAAGATTTCCTGGAAAATTACATCAACACCTCTATTACCAGAAACCCAAATGGCAGTTACGCAGCAAAATTCCCATGGAAAGATGATGCACCAACCCTCCCAGACAACTACCTAGCATGTGAGCGTCGCACTCGAGCGATGATCCATCGACTTGCCGCTACCCCTGATTTGCTGAAATGTTATGGCGACATTATTGAAGAACAAACTAAGCGAGGATTCATTGAGAAAGTCGAAGAAACCAAACTAACCAACAAAGCACATTACATCCCACATCACCCTATCCGAAAGGAATCAACAACAACACCAGTCAGAATTGTTTTCGACTGTAGCTTTCACTCATCACCAAATTTTCCTAGTCTGAACGACTGTCTTCTTACTGGTCCACCGTTTCTGAATGACATGTGTGCCATTTTACTGCGGTTTCGTACATTCACCTATGGCATATCAGCAGACATTGAGAAGGCCTTTCTCCATGTCGGACTCGATGACAGTGACCGAGACTTCACTAGATTCCTTTGGCTCTCAGACCCTACAAACCCAGAGAGCAAATTTGATATCTTCCGCTTCAAGACCGTCCTTTTTGGATCAACTAGCTCCCCCTTCATGTTGAATGCTACCCTCCGTTGCCACCTAGAAAACTACGACCTCCCTATAGCTCAAGACATAAAGGACAATATTTATGTTGACAACATAATCTCTGGTTGTGACCAAGAAACGGACAGTATTCTGTACTACAACGACGCCAGATCTATTATGCATAATGCACATTTCAATCTCCACTCTTGGGCATCAAATAGTCCATCACTTCAAGAAATTGCTACAAAAGATGGAACAGCTGATCCTAAAACCATTGTCAACATCCTCGGTTTGAAATGGAATCCATCAACAGATACTCTAAGTTTCCCACCAGCACAGGATTACACACCACCCCCAACTATCACTAAGCGTCACGTATTACAAATCTCTTCCAAGATCTACGACCCTCTTGGACTTTTATCTCCTGTAACTGTCAAAGCAAAACTACTAATGCAAGAACTGTGGCAGAACGAACTGGAATGGGATGAACCACTACCTCTTGAACTCAAAACCAAATGGCTAAATATTGCAAGGGACTTACAAGAAGCAACCAACGTTTGCATGCAAAGAAGATACCTTTCCCAAACTCCTGCACCTATTTCCACAACATACATCCATGTGTTTGTTGATGCAAGCCCCAAGGCATATGGAGCTGTGGCGTACCTTACCAACGGGAACCAATCATCGCCCATCATGGCAAAATCTCGGGTTGCACCCTTGAAGGAACTAACTCTTCCTCAATTAGAATTAATGGCCGCTGTAGTCGGAACACGATTAGCCAATTTCCTATCTTGTACCCTCAGTTCCAGATATCCCAACCTAAGAGTAAAACTTTGGTCTGACAGTGAAATAGTGCTACATTGGATCAACAGCAGCAAACCCCTAAAACAGTTCATACTACATCGCATTAACGAAATAAAGAACATGTTTCCTAAATCAACTTGGAACCACTGCCCAACTGATCAAAACCCGGCTGATTTGCTCACCCGTGGAATTACATCATCCCAATTACAGTCGTCTTCTCTATGGACGAATGGACCAACATGGTTACTACAAGAATCAGAATGGCCACTGTGGAATCCCTCACGCACCATAAACCTATCCCTCTTCGAAGAAAATGACACAGAACCATCCACAACCATTCCCAGCGAAACCACTCCAAACGACGCGAATTCGGGAATTCACCTCATTATTGATACATCTCGATACAGTTCATTAACAAAACTACTATCTGTTACTGCCTATGTCTATCGGTTTGTACAGAACATGCGTAAAGACAAGCGAAGAGTTGTAGGACCAATTTCCGCAACAGAAAAACAGGCAGCATTGAAAGTATGGATCCAAAATTGTCAAACCCTACATTACAACAACGAAATCGCTAACCTCACATCATCATCCTCTACTCGCCTGCCCTTGGTACGACAGCTTCGCTTATTCCTAGATCCCGATGGATTTCTTCGTTGCGGCGGGAGGATTCATAATGCCCCACTTAGTGAACTGGCCAGATTTCCATACTTACTCCCGAAAAACTGTACATTTACTGAACTGATCGTACAAGACACCCATCATAAACAAATGCATTCTGGAATCAATGCTACAGTTACTGCACTTCGACAAAGCTACTGGATAACTGCCATACGTCAATATGTAAAGAAGTTACTTCGACGTTGTGTCACCTGTCGCAAAGTTACTGGTACCCCTTTCAAAACACCAGACTCCGCACCTCTACCAAAGATTAGAGTCCAAGAAAGAGCACCATTCGCAGTAACGGGAGTAGACTTTGGCGGACCCCTCTATGTCAGAACCCAACTCGGTGAAGCAAAAACTTACATATGTCTTTTCACGTGTGCAGTTACAAGAAGCGTTCACCTAGAAATCGTCTCAGATCTATCAGAGGAGAAATTTCTTTTGGCATTTCGCCGTTTCTCGAGTCGTAAATCTCTACCCCTTACCATGATTTCAGATAATGCTTCCACCTACGTAGCTTCAGCAGAAACCCTGAAAGAATTATTCGAATCGCCATCACTTAAGGAAGCCTTCAGCAGACAAGGAGTCGAATGGAAATTTATACCGAAGCGAGCGCCCTGGTATGGGGGCTTTTGGGAACGTTTAATTGGATTGACAAAAACTGCACTAAAGAAGACACTCGGTAGAGCATCCGTAACACTAGAAGAACTCCAGACCCTCATTGTTGAGGTAGAAGCCATCCTAAATGATCGTCCAATTACGTTCGTGTCAAGTGATATAAACGATGAAGAGCCACTAACACCGTCACACTTATTGTACGGAAGAAGAATCACGTCATTACCGTTTGATACGCCTGTCTCCGAGGATGACCTAACAGATCCAGATTATGGAAGTGAGTCAGATATTCGACGCCGAGTGAAACTACAAGCTATCATTTTACAACGGTTCTGGAAAAGATGGAGGCACGAATATTTAACCTCGTTACGTGAGTTTCATCGTTCTAGCGGAGACAATAAGCAGATTATTAAGAAAGGAGACGTAGTTCTAGTCCATGACGACAGCCCAAGGTCCACCTGGAAACTAGCAGTTGTTGAAGATCTCATTCGAGGAGGTGATAACTTGGTCCGAGCAGCGAACATTCGAACAAGCACAGGGTATACAAACAGACCAATTTGCAAATTGTACCCACTAGAACTGTCAACGAACGAAGTCGAGGAAAGGGACATAAGCAACTGTGATCAAGAAAACCTAGTTGTCAATAATTCAACTGAACAAGAGAGAACGGTTAGAAACAGACCCGTAAGAACCTCAGCCGCGAGAGCAGCCAACAGAATTTCAGAATGGACGAAGATCTTACGCCGCCCCCCGGAGGATGTCGAAGAAATATGAACATTCCAGTATACAGTATATAGCTCAGGACTTTAGCGCATGCGCATGATGATATTTACATGTGCTCGATTCAGAGATTGACTAAAACTATAGCGTATTTGGTTTATATTCTACTATAAAGGTTGTACTATTTCTATGCATATTACTCTATTAAACGAAGTCAAGTACTCTATTTCCGTCATACACATTCTACTCTACAATTATACAAAATTTAGATATATTTTTTTATTTCAGCTGCATGTGTTTTCACAAAAATTAAAAAGTCAAAAATCACCTGTGGAAATAGTCTCGCGGTAAATTTTCGGCGTGAAAGCAAACAATTCTCGACAAGTTGCACGTGTTTTGACAGCCGAACTATTTAGCTGGTCAGCGGCTTCCGCCATAACAATAACAAAACGAGTAAAATTAAACGATGGAGGAATTGACTAGCATTGCCTGTTGACGAAGAATCACGATTTATATACGAGACTGTGTCTACAATAATCATTAAGATATCGAAAGTGATTAACACTAAAGAATAATGGAAGCTAACGAACGTCAAATAATAAGTCAACTGACAATCGGGGTCATTGAATGACAAGGCTATGATCAAGGCACACTTTGTATCAATTATATTGGGGTAGGTTTTCTCTTGACTTTCTAAATAAATCTTCAACATAAATCGATGTTTGATAATTTGTTGACTAACGGACGTCTTTACATGATGCAAATGTATAACTTGTCTTGATTATATTCAGCTAGAAAATGTTTATTATTTATACAATACGGTCCATTACGTCCATACATAACGGAAATGCCTGTGTCAGTGCTTTTCCCTAAAAGACTTTAGACAACAGTAAAGGTCAAACGAATGTTCATCACTGCTCTAGGTCCAATAATATGTAAAATTTTGCTCTTTCAAAGCAGAGTTTACAGTAAACATGAACGTTCTTATTTACTCCAAACTGCCGAAAGGCGAAAATGTTGATGTTTTGTTGGCCTGTAGTATCTCCAAAATTTACAGGCCGCAATATTTTATTTTATATTATGTAAGACCAACCTTTAATCTCACCATACAAATAATATTACATTCATAGCAAGTCTAACTTTTGAATTTTAGGGTTTTTATTTCACCCATTTTTAAGGAACTTGGAAATTTCTATTTTAGTCTATCATGAATGATGTCATTTCTATATTTAGAAAACAAATTTGAAAAATTTATAGATACCTTGTTACTTAGGACATATAAAGCTACTATTGTCTGGAAAGATTTAGTTTTATGATTATTTTTGTTTGATGTACAGAGGTTTAAAAATCAGCAAAAATCCACTATTGAGAACAGCAAAAATCGTAATTTTAGCCCTCAACTTGACCCCCCTGGAACTTTGCCAAAATGCAATTAGACCGAAAACAAAATGCATTTTGAAACAACCCTTATAAAGGCAATCTCAACTACAAAGTTTGAGAGAAATCTATTTGTTGATCCAAAGAGGTCATGAGGTTCTTACAGAGACTGCCTCTTAAGTTGATGAATTTCACTTCATTAAACTGCACACATATTCATAATTATTACTAAGTATGAATAAATCTTAGCTAAGCTACGACACGTTCGTGATTAATTGGTTTTTCTTTTGTTATGCATTGTTTTAATTAGGCACAGAGGTGAAAATATGCGATTTTGACTAACATTTTTAATCGGCCTCGTGCATGCATGCTTATTTTTTCTCCACTTGGCATGAAAAGCATGTCATTCAATAGCTAAAAGCCTGATCTTTCCGAATATGAAAACCGGCAATTGTTCATACGCCAAGTAATTCACGTATAATAGCGCGCTGAAGTTCGATTACCTTTTTTTTATACACCCTGTATATATATATATATATATATATATATATATATATATATATATATATATATATATATATATATATATATATATATATGCCTAGATTTAATCTTTACGCCCCAAATATTATTTACATTGGAGTTGCATCAAAGTAAAAGCATATTGTGTATTAGCCTATTGGGTTTACACTTTTACAGCTTCATTTCACTTTAACTCTCTCAAGTCTCAACAGACAATCGGACATGCCAAATCCATTGATATGACAAATTGACCACTTCAAAAAACTTTTTTCGAAGCTAGAAATCATGATTTTTTTCAAATTTTTGCTGGTATACTTTGTTTTCCGCCCTCTAGATTCCCCCTCGCGGCTCTAATGCTCCACCCCTAGAATATAGACCTTACTAGAACAGGTGGGAAATTTGTCGTCGCTGACCAAAAAATCACGGGCAGAAACAAAGCTCATTGCATTTACATTCAAAACAAAGCAGAAAGTTAGCAAGAAGCTGTTTTAGCTGACGATTTTTTGCTTTCCATTCAACGATTTACAAATTAATGGTTATTCTTTTAAAAGTCGACTATAAGTTCTTTGGTTTGGGATGATTTGTTTTGTAATCGAGTGATTGGAAGAAGTTAATATGGCGACGTGAACATGGGAGTAAATACCGTATACGTCGATCTGTGGCTTGTTTAAAACCGTAATAAACGAAGAAAGACGTGATATGAGAATGAAATGTAAGTTGAAATTAACTTTATATGCCTCAAATTTTCCATCCTATGTTTCTTAATGTAACTTCAGCTGTCTAAGTTCAAAATACAAGCTCGCGAAATTTGACAAATTTTGAAAATATGTAAAAGTAGCTTGACTTTGAACTGTATTTTCTCAATAATAACCCGTGGCCTCAATTTCAAATATAGTTAAATGAAAAGAAAAAACTTTTCGGCGTTTGTAGGTATCAAACATATCGTCAGGAAAATAGGGGCACACAATGTTTTAGTTCAGTCTTTGAGACCCAGTTGCTTTGCAAGTGTTGTGGTCAAATTTTTGCCAAGAATCAAAGGCCGAAATGTGAACTTCCTTCATGAAAACCGCTTCGAGAAGGGTCTAGTTTGAAAATTTAGCTATTAATTTCGATTTCATGAGCATATTTTGGTTACACGTTAAGTATTTTTGTGCTTGATGAGATTCAAAATTTGTTGTATATTCAAGCCCGGCTTTTGTGTAATTTTGGTGATGACCGGAACAGAAATAAAGATATTTTAAAAACTGGCCGTGGCCTCACGATAAAACTTTCTACAAATGTTCTCTGTTTCATGTACTTTTATTTGATATCTTAGGTATAAGCGTAAAAATAGTGGCTCATACAGTTTAAGAGGTTGTAAAATGCATGACTTGCCTCTATTTTCATGTAAACATTCGAAATTCTTCGACAGCAAAGTAGCAACTGTTTCAGGTCGAATGCACACGGACAGCCCACAAGAGACAATAGCAGGGTACTGAAATAGAACGTCACTAAAAAGTTCTGTATGATTAATTTAGATCATGTCCACTCTTTCAACATAAAACAGTCATTTATTTTGTACAAACATTTTGCAATATTTACACGATTGTGCTTTTTTGTAAACACGCGTTGCGTGTATTCCACACAACTGCGTGACTCATTTTACTCGCGCATGCTCAGACAAATTTCCCACCTGTTATATACATGTATATACATGTATATATATATATATATATATATATACATGTATATACATGTATATATATATATATATATATATATATATATATATATATATATATATATATATATATATATATATATATATATATATATATATATATATTGTTATATGTTCACGCTGTACCGTGGTACACCGTCAATGCGCATGCGCTAATATTCGACAATAACAAAATCGGATTAGTCATTTAGTGCGGCGGTCACGCAATATATTTCCAGTCAACAGCTAAGCGTTAGTCTGTCTAACAATACAAATAGGCAGAGGAGGAATGAGGGTCTTCCCACAATGCATTGTGTCTCATTATTATTCACAATTACGATTTTCAACGAACGTTTGGCGAAAAATTGTTGAAATACATTGCGATTTTGGCTTCGTATATCTCGTTTTTTCGAAGGTATGTTTTTATATTTGTATTATTTAAGAACCTAATTACACTATTTTTGACTTATTTGGTACAGGAATTGCTTTTTAGTTATGCTAATTACGTATTGTAATTATGCTTGATTCGGGTCAGTGGACACGCCAATAAAATGACCTTGATATAATGCAGAAGCAAACTCACTTTTTTTTGAGGAAAATAAAAACAAAACACGTCATCGAATTCGGGAAGATTTTTTCTTTCTACTGTTACTTTAAAACATGAGTTTGCTCCACTAAACCGACAAGTAATCGCGGTTTGAAAATGGGGTACTTTCGCTATATTCTATCGCCGATGGCGGGAATAGACCTCCTGATAATCATCATGGCGCGAAGGAAACTATTGTACTAAATCACTATTTTCCATGATAATTTTAAACATATGCATATATGTTCCTACATATTTTAAGTTTAATGTAATTTCTAAGGTTAGATATGCTTTATATGTTTACTGTACCTGCACTGACTGTATTTTTTTTCATTTTATTATAGAATTCGGCTATTTTGGAGTAAAC